TCAGATCCCCATACTGGCCAGCCACCTGAAAAAAAACAAAAACAAAAAAACAGCCCTCTGACCATGGTCGTGATTCTCCCCACCCCCAAATTCCTCTGGAACACAGAATAAAACTTTTACACTACTTCCCAGGGCAAATAATTTAAAAGTATGCCTCCCGCAGGACACTGTGGGGACCTTGCCTCCACTTTACTTTTTTATTCTTTTTTTTTTTGGAGGGGCTGGCTTGTACAGGGATCTGCTTATTTTAATTTCTATGCTTCTCTCTGTCCATCTGCTTTCTCTTCCACTCAATAACTTACTAAACAGAAAACAAAAACAAAAACCCTCTCTTCTTAAGGTTATAACATTCACAGCCAATAGGCATGTGATCTCTGTGTTCCAACAATTTCTAGCCAAGTCTTTTTCTTTAAAGTGCTGTTAGAGGGCCGGCCCGTGGCTCACTCGGGAGAGTGTGGTGCCGATAACACCAATGCCAAGGGTTTGGATCCCTATACAGGGATGGCCGGTTAGCTCACTTGGGAAAGCGTGGTGCTGACAACACCAAGTCAAGGGTTAGGATCCCCTTATCCACATGGAAGAAAATGAGATTGGTGGTAAAGCCTTAGGGACCTGTCATCTGCACACCTACACTTAGGGACACTGGAAGTGTGAAACAGCAGTGGCCTGCTCTCCAGGAGATGAAACCCAGTGGTCTGGCATCACTGGCTTTGCCCTATTTGCTCTAAGGAAGTCAGCTTTCCCTGGTCTTCTTCACTGTGTCTGCTTTGTTTGTGCACAGGATCCTTCTCATTCTAACCTCCAGAAAGTGCTTAGATAAGGAGAATCAGCTCACCAGTACATGAAGTTTTTTGGAAAAAAGAGATCTTTTTTTTCCCCCAGCTCCCCGTACTTCCTCTTCACCTTCGCTAAACTCCCATCCTCTCTCTTTACTTTCTCACCTTGTACTCCTGCACCACTTCCTCCAATGGCACCACGCTGTGCTGTTTGTGGCTCCTGGATTCTCGGCACACCACACAGATGGCTTCTTCATCCACCTCGCAGAAGAGCTTTAGGGCTTCTTGGTGTTTTGGACAGATACCCTGCTCATTCACACGGCTCCCTCGACCAGGGGCTGGGTGCATCTGCCTTATCACCTGGACCATGTTGGCCAGCTGCAGGTTGGGGCGGAAGCTCCGCCGAGGAAAGCTCTTTCGACACTGGGGGCAGGTGAAGCACCTCCGAGGGGCTGGAGGTGGGGGCACTGGGGTGACCGGGTCTAGCTCCTCTTCCTCGTCCTCCTCCAGCACTTCCTCCTCGTCCTCCCCCCTCAGGTCCTCCTCCATGTCCCCCAAGTAGTAGTCCAGGTCTTCCTCCTCGTCCTCCTCCTCCCACACGTAGTCCATGTTGTCCCAGCTGGACCCGCCCATGCCACTGGTCCAGAACACACCCTCCTCTTCCTCCTCGACCTCCTCTTCCATGTCACCCTCATAGTCTTCTTCCCGCATGGGGGTGTCCCATCCCCCGCTAGCCTCCACAGCCTCTACTTCCTCCTCCTCCCCGTCCTCCTCCTCCTCCTCCTCCCCGCCCCCCCGGTCTAACTCATCCCTGTCCTCCTCATCCTCCCCGCCCCACAACTGGGTTACACACACTCGGCAGAAGTTATGCCCGCAACCGATGGACACGGGGTCTGTGAAGTAATCGAGGCAGATGGCGCACACCGCCTCCTCCTGAAGGGTCTGCACAGGGTTGGGTGTCATGGCAACGGCAGCCATCTTAGTGTCCAGTCAGCCAGTGTAGATGTGCGGCGGGAGGGGCGGGAAGGGGGACAGGGACCTTTCCTCTCAGACTCCCTGGCGACCCGGTCCCACCCCCAGCCCTGCTCCTCCACACCTTGCCTCTAGCCCAGCCAGAGAAACGTCCTCCCGACAACCCACCCCTCCACAGAGTTCCCTACTCCCAGACAACAACCGTGTCTCCGCGAAGGGGAGAACAGAGATCAGCGCCACCGCCAAGCCCCTCAGGTGGCCCTGAGTGCAAATCTGCCCCAACGCTCCCTTGGCCTCCACATCACCCCCCCGCCCCTCCTCACTTCCTGGCCCCACCCCCTCGCTTCCGGCCTCTCTCCAACACTTCCGGCGCCTGCACACCACCGAAGCTCGCGAGTTCCCTCCACGGTCGCGCTACGCCTCTTCTCCTCAACCCCACCCCTCCCCGCACCCTTCGCCTGGCCCCACCGCAACAGGAAACCGCGAGGGGACGCTCTAGCAGGCACTTGGGAAGAGGGAGGGAGGGCTAGGACGGTGGAGGCCCACGTCTCTGTGAACCGGGAGAACGGGGAACACGGGCAGGACAGGACCTCCCACCCCCATCCGCCGCCACTGGGGAGAAACTTGGGGCAGTGGGAACATTTGGTGGCCGTCTGTTTTCCATGCTATGACCGTATCGCTCCGGCGCCATCCTTCCCACCGGGCACGGACGACTGCAGCAAAGGGTCCCCACAGCCGATGCCGGAAGCGGAGGGGCGGCCCCGGTGAGCGCTGTGAAGTACTTCCGGTCTCTCTAGGCGGAGAACTTTGTTGTTTGAGGACTCCGGGTCCCTCCAAATCCGATCAGAGGGCGGGGGCAGAAACAACCCTGCTCCCCGACTGTAGTTGGCATTTCTACACCCGTTTTAGAAACTGCCAACCGGTCATTGTCGGGTCATTTGGATGAACTTCCCTAAGTGCCCATCAGCAAAGGAATGGTGACAAATCGTTACATCCACATTCCACAGTGGAACACTCTAGCCGTAAAAAGGGAAACCTCTTCAAGATGTATTTAAGCAAAAAAAAAAAAAAAAAAAAGGGGGCTGAAC